TTTAGGAAATTTACACAGGAGAAGAAACTTCATGTACTTTAAAAATGCACATAATTATCCTGCCTGCCAATTGCTGCATTCATAATCTATATGATGATAATAGCTATGCCTTCATGATGTTTACCCACCACCAGCATGTTTTCTAGAGTAATAATAGGCAGAAGCAAAGTGACCTCAGCCAATTTGTGGTTCCCAATTATCCAGATCTTTTTGGTACCTGTAACTTCCATTAGTCAGAGATAGGGGAACACTAAAGGCTCACCTCCTCAGCAATCTCACTACTAGTGGAATATTATAATAGAAGCAAGCCTCAGGACTAATTCTCCCATTTATACATGTATTTATCAGTAGGCCAATACACAAAGAGTCGTACAGCCTGTTCTGTAAATTCAATGAAGTCCCATTTCCCATCCTTTCAGATGTTCTGATAGTATCTTCCATGAAAGTTTCACTCAAAGCAGATGAGATAATAATATAGTGACAAATTTGGAGTCCAGCAATAAAAGGATATGCTGCAAATGCAAGAGTCTTTCATAATCTTAGGACGGGGCTAGCATCCTAATGATTGTGGGCTGTTAGGCTTACTGGATGATTCTTATTTTTTTAATAATACTTCTGTTATTTTATAAGCAATACTGTGCATTGTAGAAATTAGTAAATACAGAAAAGCAAAAACAAAAATGAACTTCAAAACCTAAAAATTTTTTACTTCCAGCATTGAATAATAATCACCACGGACATATATAATACACATTCTTTCTAATCTTTCTCTGTGTGTGTATATGTGTACACACACATATTTATATATTTTTTTACCAAGATGATATTGTGGTATTCTTTAACATATGTTTTTCAGTTCAACAATTTCCACCTTTCCAGACAGTATTAACATTTAGCGACTGGACACAAAAAGTACACATTATAAGTGTTTTCTGAACTAGTGGTCAATTTTCATGACTTTAATCAAGTTCAGTCCACCCCACTACCTGTTCATGACATTGAGTTGTTGACAAGACCTGTTTTCCTGCAAACTGTTACTACTTTTGCCTGATTTCGTCATTGTCTTATTTTTTATCTTGTTCCTCTATTGCCTGGATATCTTGTAATGTACAGGTTTTATCTAAAGGCAAGATGGATTCAAGCTAACCATCTTTTTGTTGGAATCAATCCTAGGTGACAATGTGTACCTTATGTTCCATCACATCTGAAGTACATTATATTGTTTAATCTACCTTACTAATTAATGTAAGATCAATTAAGGTTATATTTTACTACACTGTTCATGCAAGCCTGGGAGATTTTATACAATAGTCCCACGCAATCCATATATCTTGAACACATCTTGGCACTGAGAAATCATTTTTACCATCTATCATGATATTTAAAGTTATAATGGGTATGGGGATTTGGATTTGATTGGAGATGAAGTTAGCTAAAGCTTATAGTAGTTGCTCTGGCTTATAATTACTCTTTAAGTACTGATTAGTTACCCTTAGAATATGTAAGTATGTATTCATAATTAGAATACTATACTTATATCTAAACAGTCCTAGAGTACACATAAGACTAAGAACCTATACCAAATTTCATCAGTTCTAGGGATATTTTTCTTTTTCAAATTCAGAATTCTGGATGCATCTTAGAATCAATAGTTTCTTAAAATCACTGTCAGGTAGCTGCTTTGATGTAATTATCATAGTCTCTGCATGCATGAATTTGATAATAGCTGCTCACATTGTAGTCATTTCAGTTATATTAGTTCATTTTTTAGTTTATTTTCTACTTAAAATGTCTTCAAAAATATGAAATTATTTTACTTTCTTAGTGGTACCTAAATTAATGCTGTGGTTACCATTGATGGCATTGATGAGGTTCAGGACATTGCATAGACTATGTTTAAGTATTAAAGTAAATTATAGATAATATAACACCAAGAGAGAAAGCCAAAACTGTCTACCCTGAACAAAGGGCACCATCCTTAGGTGGGGAGGGGACTGCTCATTTGTGACATTGATTCACTCTCCCACCCATTGTTACTTTCCTTTTGAAGTACATTTTATTATGTAAGATTTCAAATATGTCTGTAGAAAAATAGAGGAAACAATACAAAGAGCTCTCATGTGCCTATCACCCAGTTTTAACTATTGTTTACACAGTTCCAGTATTGTTTTATCCATATCCCCATTCATTTCTCCTCCTCCCATACTATTTTGAAAAAATATCCAAAACATCAGAATTATTTCATAATCTATAAATGTATCACTTTGTGTCTTAAAAAGATAACTATGAACATAGCTATAATAAAATTATTTGGAAATGAATAAAAATTCTAAAATATCATCAAATACTCTCTATTCAATTTTCCAGTGGTCTCAAATATATTAATTTTCCCTTTGAATCAGAATCCAAATTGCATATCTACATAACAATCTGATGCAATGATTTTTTTGTGTGTGTTACTGGGGATTGAATCCAGGGGCTCTGTACCACTTAGCTGTATCCACAGTCCTTTTAAATTTTTTTCATTTTGACACAAAGTCTTGCCAAGTTGCTGAGACTGACCTCAAACTTATGATTCTCCTGCCTCAGACTCTTGTGTATATGGGATTACAGGTGCATAACACTGTGCCTGGCTTGATGAAATGTTTTTGACTCCTTTAATCTCTAACAGAGGATGACAAATATTTCTGTAAACTATCATAAAACGCATATTTTAGGCCTTGTGAATGATATGGCCTCTGTCACAAGTACTCAATTTCATCGTTATAGCATGAAAGCAGCCATTTAAGTCACTATGAAAGCTGTGTTCCAATGAAACAAGTATGACAAAATAGATGGTGGGCTGGATTTAATGAGTACTTTAGTTTGGTGATACTTGATCTATAGCAGTGGTTCTGAAACTTTGGTGGAAATGACACATGAAAAGAACAGTTTGTCTTCCAAGTCTCATTAGAATGCAAAGAAGGAAGAGTATCCTAAATGGGACACCAGGAACCTCCTTCAGAGAAATAGTAGGTGGCTTTGGCTTTAAAAAGCCTCCCACAGAAACTTTGGTTTTTCTAACTTTGAAACTAGAGAAGCAGGCAGCAGGAGGCCATGGGACTACCTTAAGGTTTGGAGACCAACAAATGTGGGTGTGAACTCCTGCCTTGCCCTGTATTCACAAACTGTGATCTTACTAAATAATTTGCCCCTAGTGAACATGGCTGTTTTGCAGTTCTGATGATTCGGAGAACTGCTGAACATTGAACAAACATCAGTGCCCTTCTGAGCTCTCAAAAGGAGATAAGCCAGTGTTCTTGCTTTGTCACTAGTGGTTTAGCCATTCCAGATCACTTGGTGGCAGCATGGAGATACTTTTCCATTTTAATATCTGAAAAAAAATCTGTCACTAAAAAATAAAGGTTAATTGCAGAAGTATTTAAGCTGTTGAAAGGGACCCATCAGCTGCCCTGCAATATCAAAGTCCCTAAGTGGTTACTGCTTATTATCATCTGAATGGTAACCAGCCTTTGTCAGGGGCTTAACAGACTTCATTAAGATTTGTCTAAGGATTCTGTCCCCCTCAATTACCACTTAGTGTCAAGAACTTGCTGGTTGATGAGTCAGTCTTTTAGAATTCTTAGCTTGGGTGGGTTTGGAAAATTAGTGTTTTGAGTGGGCAGCTGGCCTGTCCCTTATTTTAATCTCCCCACCCCCATAGCCAAACTGACCAAAGGGCTGCATGCCTTTTATTTGGCTGCTTCCAGTACTATTTAGAACAGCATTAGAGGAACTGAGTTCCTTCAAAAGTAATTTATTATTTGTACCAGGAACACATTTGGAAGTTGTTTATAACCGAATAGGAGAGTGAGATAAGTAAACAACAACAACAACAACAAAAAAAAACTCAGCTTGTCCATGGTATCAATTAAGTTGAGGACAGTGCTCTATGTTTCCCTTGAATGTGAATCTGGAAGGATAAATTGACATTCTTCAGATATGGGGAAGATGGACTTTATAAGCAGAGGGACTGGCATCAGCAAAGATATTGAGGTCTGTCTGAAACAACCTGAGGTAACCAGAAAATTCTAATCTAAGCAATTTAATGAGAGTTTCAATGGTCAGCATTGCCTAGAATGGAGAGGTAATAACAGATATTTCTAGGGTGTGTGGTACCATGCTGAAACAATTTAGCTCTATGTCAAAACTCTCTGAAATAGGTAGCATTTAAACAAGTGGGAAACCTAAAGCTCAGAGAAGTTACAGTGAGTTAACATTTCCTGGTGCAGAGTTGGTGAGTGTCCGCCCATGTTGGGATTTGAACCCAGGGCAACATCATTGTCTAGGCTGTGCATATGGCTTATAAATAGGGAGAAAGTTACAGAAAGCCTAAACTGCCACAGTGAGCACAGCTGTCCCTCTCCTTTAAGTAATAGGCAACCATTAAAGGAAATTTAAGCAAGAGTGACTAGGGCCCGAAAATCTGAGATTACAGAATCTACTCCATAGCTAACTGCATGACTTCAGGCAGATCCCTTTCCTTCTCTGGGCGTTCTTCATCTATGAAGAGAAAGATGATGAAAGGATGGTCTTAAGGATCCTTTTCAACTTTTTCAGATTTTTACTTTTCTTTGGATGAGGAAAGGGCCATATTACTTACTAGAAAGAAGGGAAGATGCTCTTTCCATGTACTTTGTTGTTCCTCTTGCCTTGAATGTCCTCTTGCTTCTCTCTTGCCTCTCCAAATATTTAAAGTTAGTCTTAAATTCCCCTGACTCTTAACTCCTTTAGCACTGCTTACTAAATTCAATATGTCTCACTTTGGCTCCTAATTCTATGCCATCTTATGTTTTTGATGAGTTATTTCTGTTGGAATCCTTTCTTTCCATCTATACTTTGGGCTGTCATTTCCTTCCACTTTTTAGCTTCTCTTTCCCTCTATATCAATTAAAACAGGCTTGGTTATAAGGGGGGTATTGGAGGAGATCTTGTTCAACATTTTCTTTTACTTCTGGCAGTGTGTGTGAGCACAGCAAAGAGAATCTCATGACCCCTTCCAATATGGGGGTGATCTTTGGGCCCACCCTGATGAGAGCTCAAGAGGACACTGTGGCTGCCATGATGAACATCAAATTTCAGAATATCGTGGTTGAAATCCTAATTGAGCACTTTGGCAAGGTATGTGTTTCCTATCCTTACTATCATTTCTCTAAACACTTGACATTTCCCCAGCTGTATATAGGATGTGTCTTCCTTCTTGGCTTGAGTTGACAATGAAAGGAAATCCTATTGTGACAAAATGACATTTAATAGTATTTTGACCCTGGGAATTTCAGGAACTATTGCTTGAGCATGTCACTATTTTATTATCAGGCACTATGCTAAATGCTGAGGTTACTGAAGAAGAAAAAGTCACTGCCTTGAAGGCGTTCACAGTGTAATATGGAGATGGACATGTAAACAGAGGAGATGATAAGCATGAAAGTGGTATGACCAATGACAGTGTATGGGAGAATAGTTATAGTTTCTCACCCATCACTACGTTCATGACTGAGAAACCCTACAACAAAAGACAGATCAATAAGAGAAAAGCTCATTTTCTGTAATTTATGTAATAAGTTTTATGTGACTTGGGAGCCTTCCGAAGTGAAGACCTAAAGAAACAGGTAAACTTATGTATTTTTATAATAAGTCTGATGAAGAAGTGGGTATTTTTGAAGAAATGTGATTAAGGATTTATGGGTATGATCTAATGGTAATAGAAGGGGGGAACTTGGCAAGGACTTTGTACAGGTTCTTCTTTGTGTTTTTGGTCTTCAAGAATAAGGGGCTGGGGATGTGGCTCAAGCGGTAGCGAGCTCGCCTGGCGTGCGTGCGGCCCGGGTTCGATCCTCAGCACCACATACCAACAAAGATGTTGTGTCTGCCGAGAACTAAAAAATAAATATTAAAAACTCTCTCTCTCTCTCTCTCTCCTCTCTCACTCTCTCACTCTCTCTCTAAAAAAAAAAAAAAAAAGAATAAGGATGTTCATTTCTTCAAGGTATACAGAGGGTACCTGTGGAATAAAATTATCATGACCTGCTTTAAAGGAATGTTAAGGATTTAAGGATTCACTTGTGGCCTACTTTGGAGAAGAAGTATAGGAAACGATCTCAGAGTCCTTCTTATTTCTGTTATTTCCTCAAATGCCAAGGTGACATATTTCATGGTAGCAGATCCTGAATCCTGTGAAAACCCTACATAAATTAATATATATGCTTATTTAAACCACATCTCATTCCAAAAGAATTTAAGGTAGCAATATTGATATAGTATTTAACATACAAGGTAGCATATATTATAATCGGATCAAATGAAAAAGGTAAAACAAAGTGAGAGACAGAAAATGAGCTCAGGAATCAGGTTAGGACAAGTCATATTTATTGACATGTCTTGTATACTTGACTACATTTGGCTTTAAGCTTTTTAGCAGCCAGTGCCATCATTGGGAAGCCTAATTCAATAAGAAACTTTTCTACAGGATGAGGACATTGATGAAGTCTATCTATAGTTCAAATCTAAGCATTGCCATTTGCTAGCTGCATTAGGTAGGACACATATATTGAAGGCTGGGCTGATAAGATTCCACACACACACATATATACAGTGTTTTAACCTGAGAGTTGTTTATTTCATGGTTGTAGAATAGTTCAGGGAGATGGCACAGAGCTTGTAAGGTGATTTCACAGGTTCAGGATCCCAGGTTCGTTCTTTCTTGGTGCTCTGGAATCCCTGAGGTGATGCTTTCATCACCTTGATTGAATATATTCTACATTTCATCAGTCAAGAAGAAGGAAAGAAAGGGAATAGAAGTTATAGCCTTTTCCTTTAAGGCCATGACCTGGAAGTCACACATATCACTTTCATTTATATACCATTTTTCAGAATTGAATCTCATGGTCACACTTAGTGATGAGAGGCAGAGAGGTATAGTCTTTATGGTGTAGATTACCCAGCCAGAACTTAAAGAAGGAGATAATGGATATTCAGTAGCAACTGGCATTCTTTTTTTAAAAAATATTTTAAACAGACACAACACTTTTTTATACCTTTATTTTATTTATTCATTTTTATGTGGTGCTGAGGATCAAACCCAGTGCTTTTTTGCTATATTATCTGTGTCAATTTCAAACAACTTATTTGACTTCTCTGATAGTAATTTTTTTCAGCTAAAATGAGTAGATGATAATAAATACTGCCTATGTGATGGTCACATGCACAATTTTATTTAGTTAATAAGTGGAAGAGCTGAATAACTTGTACCAGAATACAGTTAGATACCACAAATAAAATCTATTGTTCTACAGCACAATAGAGTAGTTATAGTTTACACAATATTATATATTTTATGTTATTATTAATGTGTTATATTATGCATAATGATAGGGTTCATTCTGACATAATTATACATGCATGAAATATAATTTGTTCCATTTCAGTCCCAATTGCTTCTTCTTTACTTCCCCTTTTTCCTTGCTATTCCCCTTCCTCTATTTTAGTGGTTTTTCTATTCATTCATTTTAATTGGTTGTTTATAGATATATGTAAAGGTGCAGTTCACTGCAATATGTTCCTATATGTATGTTTCATAATTTGGACAGTTTCAAAGAAGTAAAAGAGAAGAATTTTTTGGCTCCCAATGATAAGAAATGATAAATGCTTAAAGAGATGAAAATGCTAATTACCTTGATTGGATCATTACATATTGTATGCATGTATCAAATTATTGCCTTCTACCCCAATAATATGTACAATTATTATGCATCAATTTAAATATTTTAATAAAAAGTGACATTTAAATCCAATTAGATTTGTTAAGAGTTAAGGTACTTAGTCAATAGCTTCTGCTTTATCACCAGTCATTTTGGTTCAGTAGTATTATTGGGAATATACAGAAGAGGTGCTTGAAGAGAAGCATCACCTATATTAGATGATAGTGTTTTAGTCAGGATTATTCAGAGAGAACTAATAGAATATGTACACAGATATATGACAGGTCCACTTTATGCTGAAGGCCCTGAGATATTGGTAGCATGGCTCAGTCCAAATTCCAAGGCCTCAGAACTAGGAAAGCTGATAGTATGACTCATCTGAAGTTGAAAGTCTGACTGTGAAGGAGAGTTGGATGCCCTGAAGTAAATCCTAAAGTTCAAAGGCCAGTGAATGTAGAAACCACATGTCCAAGGCAGCAGAAGAAAATGCTGGCCCAGCTTTCAGAAAAAAAGACCAATTGACCTTTTACATTTCTCTGATTTCAGCCAATTGGATAATGCTTGCCTGCACTAAGGCCAGATCTTCCTCACCTAGTCCACTCAGACTCACAAGCCAACAGACACACCCAAATTAATGATTTTTTAGGCTTCTAGCTACTCCTTAATCCATTCAAGTTGACACCTAAAATTAAACATCACCTATACTAAAAGTATAAATAAAGAGACTTAGGGAAAGGAAATTTCAAGATGATGCAATGTGAACAAAGCCCCAGAACCTAAAAACATCGTACTGGAATATAAAGTGGAACTAAGAGCAAATAGCAGGACATGAGGAAAACAGGGACAAGGTTCTAAAAGCATTTAACTGCTTGGTTGAGGAATTTGAAATATTTAGAATTTTCTTGACAGTGATGCTATATTATGAGAAAGAAATAGTAGTCTGAATCAGGGGCAGTTGAGAGAGGGACAGGGAGGCAAAAACCATAGGACTTAATAATTGGAAGCAGAAGATGTTGGAGAGGGAGATTTCTGAATCCTAAATTCTGACATGGTAGGCTAAGTGAATGGGGCTGTCTTTCTTACATGTAAAAATTTCAGAATGAGGTACTGGGCATGATGGCGCATGCCTGTAATCTAAGCAGATTAGGAGACTGAGGCAGGAGGATCAGAAGTTCACAGTTCAGCCTCAGCAACTCAGCTAGGCCCCAAGCAACATGGTCAGACTCTGTCTCTAAATAACATATAAAAAGGGGCTGGGGATTTGTCTCAATGGTTAAGCACCCCTGGGTTAAATCCCTGGTATCTCCCTGAAAAAAATACAGAATGAGAAAGTTCTGGGGAGATAGAGAACTGCCCAGTTTGGGGCAGTTTGGATTTGAGATTTGTGAAAGCTATCCAGAGAACAATATCTAGCAAGTAGTTGTATGAATTGAGAGCAAGGATCAATGAAATTTTTGTTAAAGGACCATATAGTAAATATGTAGGATATGTAGGCTGCAGATTTCTGTCACAACTAGTTGACTCTGTAGTTGAAAAGAAGCTACAAGATTGTATGTAAACAAATCATTATGGCCATTTTCTAATAAAACTGTTTATAAAATAGGCAATAGGCCTATAGGCTATAATTGAACCATTGTCGAAAGCCCAGATGTTACGTATTGATGAATTAATTCATTAAACAAATAAATGTTAAGTGCTCACTATGTGGTAGGTACTGCTTTATACACTGAGGACACAATTTGCATGAAGATTATATTCTATAGCAAGTAGAAAAATAGTACTCAAACGAAGTAAAATGTATGTTAGAAGGTAATGAGCATCAAAAAGATAAAGCAGAGAAGGGGAATAGGAAGGATTGGAAAGTGATTTTGTCATTGTAGTGCACTAATGAAATGAGGAAATAAGAACCTGAAGTGAACCTCAGGACATGATGACCCTTGAACAGAGACCCATAGGAAGTAGAGGACAGATTCATTCAGCTATCTAGAGGGCAAGCATTCTAGGCTGAGGAAATGTTAAGTAGAAATTTCCTGAGGCAGAAACTTGCCTATCATCTTCAGGGGACAACAAGGGGGTTAAATTCCCTAGAGTGAGTTAAGGAAAAAACTAAATAGAAGATGACAGGCTCAAAGAGGTAATGGAGAAGAAAAGCTGTGTAGATTTATAGGAGAGTCTTAGAGTCCACTGTAAGGGTTTAGACTTTATTCTAAGATAGAAGTAGGGTTGTGAGCAGAGGTGTGACATGATTTGTCTTATTTTTTATACGACTACTCTGGATGCCATGTGAAAAGATAGCTGTAAGGGACAAGGTAGAAACAGGGAGAATAAATAGGAGAGAAATAGTGGATCTTAGATGACGGTGTTAACAGTGAAGATGGTGAGAAGTAGTCAGATTCTACATATACTTTGAAGGCAAAGCCAATA